AGACAGAGCATGAGCAGGGGAGGGGCAGAGAGAGAGAGGAAGACCTAGAATCTGAAGCAGGCTCCAGGCTCTGAGCTGTCAGCACAGAGCCTGACACGGGACTCAAACTCACAACCTGTGAGATCATGACCTGGGCTGAAGTCAGATGCTTAACCGACTGAGCCACGAAGCGCCCTGTGGAGCATGGGACTCGATCTCTAGGTTGTAAATTCAAGCCCCACGTTGGATATAGATATTACTTAGAAATAAAATCTTAAAAAAAAAAAAAAGTCTGGAGGTGGGCTCATGGACAAGGTCAAAGATGGTGAGAGACTCCACCGTTGCCTTTCATGGCTTGGTTTCTCACTTGCATATATCTGTGCTTATATACACGCCACATACATGAAAGTAAGAGCAAGAGTGTTCCTTTGGGGCACCTGGGTGGCTCAGTCGGTTGAGTGTCCAGCTCATATTTTTGGCTCAGTTTCACAGTTCATGAGTTCAAGCCCTGTGTTGGGCTCTGTGCTGACAGCACGGAGCCTGCTTGGGATTCTCTTGTCTCCCTCTCTGTCTGCCCCACCCCCCACTTATATGTGTGGGTGTGTGCGCTCTCTCTCTCTCTCTCTCTCTCTCTCTCTCTCTCTCAAAAATAAATAAACGTTAAAAAAAAGAGAGACAGAGTGTGTTTCTTGATTTCCAGATGCCAAGACCCACTATCTCTGCTTCTTTGTAGGATTTTTTATCTGCTGTGGAGGATGCAGAGAACGAGTTTGCTGGCTCACGGCCTTTGAATGCTGGATGCCTGAGACCTGTCTCTTCTAGGCCACAGGAGACCGTGCCGGCACAGTCTTCTGGGCAGCTGCCGTCATGCCCCACTGCTCTTTCAGAGGCTTTGGGCCCGTCAGCCCTGGGACTCCGCCTTCCTACCTCCAGCATGCCCAGGGCCATCAGGGACCCACCTTCCATAGGAACAGCCCCCCTAAGGCCTGTCCCGACTTCTAGCAGCTGGACTGGTCATCAGAGACGAGTGTCCCTGCCAGAAGTGCTCAAAGAGCCGGCGAGACCCCAGACATCAGCCTCCCGCCCCCTGCTCACCTTTGAGAGCCAACAGCAGATGATTGGTGGCTTTGAGGGTCCTGAACAAGATGAATTTGATAAGGTCCTGGCAAGCATGGAGCTGGAGGGGCCTGGCGTGGAGCTGGAACTTGGAATCAGCAGTGAGGCCACGGGAATCCCGCCCACCTGGCAGCAGGAGGACTTAGCTTTGGCTAAAAAGGCTCGCGTAGCTGAGCTGAGCAGGTCTTGCCAAAAGAGGCCCACGCCTGCCTCCCACATAACGAGTGTCATGTCAGCCGACGATGAGCCCCCAGCACCTGGGGTCCACTGTAGGACTGCACAGCCCCACCTGAGACCCGGTGCCGTGAGCAACCTTCCTACCCCAACTGCCTCAACAGTTCCTGCTCAGCAACCCCACTCGGAAGCCTGCCCTCAGGGGCCCGCTCTTCGAGCGGCACAGCCTCTCCAAGCTGCTGGCCGGCCTGTTCAGAGCGGCCCGCAAAGTCCTTTCCCTGGTCAGTCATTCCAACGTCCAAATGCCTGCTTGCGTGGCAAATCTCACCTTCCTGGTCCACGAACTCCCAACTCGATCTGTTCTACTCCCTCGAGGACTATCTCTGCATTATTTCCTCGGAGCCCCTTACAACCCCGAGCTCCAGCGGCTTCCGTCAAGTGTCCTGCCGGCACCCCAAAGAGCCCCCATTCCTCCCTGGTCCTCCAAGCAGCTCTCCAGCCACCCATAGTCACCAACCACCTGGTGCAGCTGGTCACTGCTGCCAACCGGACACCCCAGCGACCCGCCCGCACCAAAACCCGCCGCTTCCCCGGCCCCGCAGGGATCCTGCCCCACCAGGTGAGTGACAGGTTCTCGTTGGCAGAAGGGGTCCAGGACGTTGCGGGGACAAGGGGGAGAATCTGGTCCCAGAATATCTTCACTCCTGGGGGAGGGAGGGAAGGAGAAAGTGCAGATAGAGGGCTGTTTTGTTTTTTTTAATGTTTATTTTATTTGAGAGAGAGGGAGACACAGAATCCGAAGCAGGATCCTGGCTCGGATCTGTCAGCACAGAGCCTGACGCGGGCCTCGAATCCACAAACCGCGAGATTATGACCTGATCCGAAGTCGGATATTTAACCAACTGAGCCACGCAGGCACCCCAGAGAGGGGGGCTTTCCAAGTGGTAGAAGAAGTCAAAAAAAGTGGGAAGAAAGAATCAAGTGCTTGAAAAACCACAGGCGAGAGAGGTGCTTTGGCTCTGAGAACCTCACAACTTTTATTCTGTTGAACACCTACTGTTTGCTAAGCACTAAGGCAAGGCAGATTAATTCACGTCTGTTTCCTAAGGACTTGTATGTGTGGGTCAGTTCGCTTGGAACTGGGAATGCAGAGGTTAAAACAGAAGTAGTTCCAGCGCAGTGGAAGAAGCAGACGCGAACGAGCGATTAGACATAAACCGCGTAGTGTGAGTAGAGGTCATTCCCTAGGTGCAGGGGAGACACTGGACTCCTTATGCTTACCGAGTGGGCTTTGGAGGGATGGCTAGGAGGTTAACAGGTGTGTGTAGGAAGGCTGTGCTCCGGGAGGCATGTCAGCGGTGGCAAGACCGGGAAGAGCGTGTGCGAAGGCACAGCGGCGTAAGAGCAAGATGCCATCAGAGGTGCAGAGAACAGCTCGCTGCGGCTGGTGTGCGGGGTCGGCGTGGGGAAGCCGGGCTGTGCTGGGAGTTTGAATTTCAGCGGTGGTGGAGGGACAGTATCCGTCAAAGCATCTTGGATCAGATCCCAGATAACGGGATTCTGCGGGTCTGATCTGGTGGTGATTGGTGTGCTCCTTTTCTCACGTTTTAGGGCGGTTCAGATAATTTCTGCCTGTTCCTTGCTCTTCGCTGGCACTTTAAGGGAAATCCACGGAGGCCATCTACCTTCCTCCTGGGCTAGATCTCTGCAGGGAAGGGTTCGGTCCCTGAGAAGGGATTTGGGGAAGGCTGCCCCTTTGCCTAGCCCAGGCCTCTCTATCCGGGTCATTGCCTCCTTCAGGAAGCCCTGGGTTTTGTTCCTGGGCCAGCTCCGGCTCCCTCACATTCCCAAAACAGTCCCCAAAGCATCTTTTTTTGAGCTGCCAACGAGGCTCCTGAGACTTCGTTAGGAGAGACGTAATATGTGTTAATTGTCCCTGATAGTTTCCTGAACTCATTATGTAACCCAGACAAGAAGCTGCAACTTGTAAATAACAGCTGCTGAGCTCGCTCTCGCCTTCTTCTTCTCTCTCCCCTTGCAGCACAGTGGGAAAAATCTGGAGGAGATCATGGTTTCCACACCCCAGACTCCGACTCATGGTGCCCTGGCTAAATTCCGGGCCGAGGTAACTGGTTCCCTGCGGATGTTCACTTCCTGGGCATCACTTAAGAGTGAGGGACATCCCTGCACGTTTTAGGAGTTGAGAAGCAGAGTCTATGCTGCTAGGCTTCCCCGCGGTGACGCACCAAAGGGCACGTGGCAAAGGCCGTTTGGGAAAGTCAGGTCTCCTGGCACAAAGTGAAGCCTGTCCTGATGCTGACCGAGGCCAGGGGTCCAGTCTTCCCTACTCCTCCAGGAAAGAAAGGCCCAGCTAACTCCCGTCTTTCCTCAGGGGAGGGGAGCGTAATAGGTATTAGGAAATTGTATCTCAGGAACCCCTCCTCTCAGGTTTCTGAGAATTGAGTGGGGAACGATCTGCCTTCATCTTGCCTCCAGTGGATTCCTCTTTGGTGGGGGAGACCCATCCTTCCTCCTCACTGGGATTCTCGTTGCCCTCCTCTGCCCTCACACCCACTTTTGCTTTTAATTCTCTAGCAGTTTTTCTCTTTGCTGTAGTTCCACAGATCTATCAGTCCGCTTCAGGTCCAAAGCAGCAAATACTCCTCTGGGTTCAAAGCATTTTTTTTTTTTTCTTTTTAACGTTTATTTTTCAGAGAGGACACAGAGTGCGGGCAGGGGAGGGTAAAGAGAGAGGGAGACACAGAATCTGAAGCAGGCTCCAGGCTCCGAGCTGTCAGCGCAGAACGCAACCCGGGGCTCGAACCCATGAACCGCGAGATCATGACCTGAGCCGAAGCCAGACGCTTAACCGACTGAGCCACCCAGGCGTTTTTTAATATGAGCATTTTTTTTTTAATTTTTTTTTTCAACGTTTTTTATTTATTTTTGGGACAGAGAGAGACAGAGCATGAACGGGGGAGGGGCAGAGAGAGAGGGAGACACAGAATCGGAAACAGGCTCCAGGCTCTGAGCCATCAGCCCAGAGCCCGACGCGGGGCTTGAACCCACGGACCGCGAGATCGTGACCTGGCTGAAGTCGGACGCTTAACCGACTGCGCCACCTAGGCGCCCCTGAGCGTTTTTTAATATAAGAAGGTTAATAGTTAAACCAGAGGCATCCCAAATAAAATATGACTGTTTCGAAATGACTTAAGGCACTGTGAAAGCCTATCAATGTAAGTGGGGGCTCCCTGGCCCTAAGACTTTTCGAGGCTGTTACACAAGAGACAAGCATGGATAGACCGTCTTTTGCTTCGGGACAACTAAAGTCAGGAACTGATTTAAAATTTAAAAAAAATTTTTGAGAGAGAGGGTGCAAGTGAGTGAGGGACAAAGAGAGAGAGAGAGAGGATCCCAGGAGGGGCAGAGGGAGAGAGAGAAAGAGGGGTGAGAGAGACAGTGGGGCTCACCCGAAGCGGGGCTTGTGCTCACCCAATGTGGGACTCGAACTCATGAACCGTGAGATCACGAGCTGAGTCGAAGTCAGATGCTTAACGACTGAGCCACCCAGGTGCCCTAAAATGAAATAAACAAGGAACACCTTTGCTATTGCTGTTAAATGAAAGATGTGCTGTGCAACCAGATCTCACGTACCATTCTGAGACCTAGGGAATAAACGAAAGCAGAGACGGTGGCTACCATGTTGCAGGGAATGTGCCCTTCCCTCCCACCCCTCCATCCTGTCTCGGTCAAGGTCTGTAGCAAGGTGGGTCCATTAACACAGGCTCCCCCTCTGCTCTGTGGTGCCAGATTGTTACTAGTTCCCAGGCGTCGGTGGAGGAGGATTTTGGGCGAGGGCCCTGGCTGGCCATGAAATCTGCTCTGGGCCTGGAGGAGAGAGACCCCACCTGCTTTCTCTGTACCTATAGCATCGTCATGGTGCTGCGGAAGGTAAGGGTCCTGGGTGCTGAGATGTGCAAGAAAGACCGTTTTTACCCTTCCTACCAACCTGCTGTCCTACTCCACCTTAGGAAAGGGGCTGTCCGTTTGCTCCCTCTTACCCCAGGTCTGTCTCTGAGCAGCAGCACGGAGTCCCTTTTGGTTGTATCATCTTCCGCTCACCTAGCATTTCACCAGCATCGACAGTGTCAGGCACAGGCAGAAGCAGAAAGTGGGTTATGGCTATGTCTCTGCACATCCAGGCCCTGGATGAGGCAGGGGTAAGCACACTGTTACCCTTCGAGCTCCCTAGAGGTCAAGGGTCATATGCAGACACATTCTCGTGGCCTGCTGTGATGTAGCTCTCTATAAATACATATATGCTGGAGAAAGGAAGCAGGGGGCAGAAAGGACCTGCCAGCTTCGGGTCTGCTAGAGAGAGACAGGATGGGTCCTTCAGACGGCCCTTTTGCCCCCCACAAAAAGAGCATCACCACACCTGTACTCTCCTCCCCTCCTCCTCCCCTCCGGTTGCCCTGGTGCACTTGGGAACCTTACAGGTGGGATGTGGCTTGCTCAGCAAATGCCTCTCCTTGTAACCAGGCAGCCCTGAGGCAGCTTCCCAGGAACAAGGTCCCCAACATGGCAGTGATGATCAAGTCCCTGAGTCGGAGCACGATGGACGCCAGTGTGGTTTTCAAGGACCCCACGGGTGAGAAGTTAGGTCCTGGGGGTGTCTGATGAGTGGCCTTCGTGGAGTTCAGGAGATGAGGAGGAGTCACCCTCTTCATTTGCAGATGGGAAAATTGAGGCAGTGAGCAGCCCACTTCCCAGCCAGGGCCCAAACCAGTCACTGCGCTGTCCTTGACCCAGACTGATGGGCCGCGCGGTATTTGCAGGAGAGATGCAGGGCACGGTGCACAGGTTGCTGCTCGAGGCCCGGCAGAGTGAGCTGAAGCCTGGCTCAGTGCTGCTGCTGAAGCAGGTATGGGGGGGCTCCAAATGCGGACCTCCTCTCCAACCCTCCCAACCCTGGAGAAGGCCCCTGAGTTGTCCGTCTGGCTCCCTTCCCTCCCCGGTCCCCAGGCCAGGAATGGTTGGGCTGGTGCTAGACCCCGCCTCCTATTCTGTGGGGCAGATGGGGGGGGGGGTTGTGTTGTGTGGAGAGGAGGGTGTGGTATGTGCTTCTACAGGGCGGGGGCAGGAGCGGTTTGGGTGAGCCTGGTGCAGAAGCCAGAGAGGGAGAGGCAGGCGGGGACCAGGTGGCATGGGACAGCATCTTAGCGCCCCGTCAGGGCACTGACCTTCCCCTTCCTTGACCCCAGGTTGGAGTGTTTTCTCCTTCGCTCCGAAATCACTACCTCAACGTGACGCCCAACAACCTGGTCCATATTTACGGCCCAGATTCTGGGGATGGGAACTTCCTCAAGCCATCTCCGCCCTTCCCCAAGGTAAGAGGAGCGGGATGGAACGGGGCCCGGGAGATCCGCTTTCTGCCTGTATATTCTGGTGTCTTCCCCTCCTTCACCCTGGGGAGCAGAGGTGTGAAGGGGGCAGTTGCCCTGAGGTGAAGAGATGCCTCTGGGGACAGGGTCATCTCCTTCTGTTCCTGGTCCAGCCGCCTGCCAGATGGCACAGTAACAGGACCTAGAGCAGCTGGCTTCTTGGGGATCGTGATCTGATGGCAGGCTTGAGCACTGGAGAGGATAGGAGTCACTTGAGAACTAAGCAAGTTGTGCGTCCCCCAGAGGGTGTGGCCCTCGGTAAGTGATGGAGGCTCAGATCTGCTACAGGTGGCAGAGAACAGTGAGCTACATACAGACTGTCGGGTGAGCCGGCACTTAGTCTGCATCTTCCCTCCTGGCCCCCACCTATGCTAGGTGAGGCGGCACCCACACAGAACCCAGGTGGGGACACCCCCCTTGGGAACTAAAGGAGCCCGGGGTTCCAGGCAGCTCCACTCCAGGCTAAGAGTGCAGAGCCTGGCCTTGACTTGGCACACAGTGTCCCCTCTGTGGCCACTTCCACACTTCCCGGGATCCTAAGTTGTTACCATGGCCCGGCCTGGAGGTCAGGAGACCTGGGTCATGTCCCCACTCTGCTGGTAATTTGTAACGTGACCTTGGGCAAGTCCCGTCCCTGCCCCTGCTGTTGCTTCATCTCTGAAGTGAAGGGTTAGACCTGATGACTTCTGCTCACGCTCCACCCTTGGCTCTAATGGCCTACTTCCATTTCTCTTATCTTTCCCCTTAACCTTCCACATTTTCTCAAAATCACCCTGCTTCCAAAAGATCATCTTTCTTTTTCTTTTAAGTTTCAAGATATCCATACCCCTTGACAAAAATCGAAATGGTACAGAGAATAAAGCAAAGCTTGTAACTCACTCTTCTCCGCTGCCATCCCCTAGGGCTAACCATAGTTAACAGTTTAATTACTAATTTCCACTACCTGCTCATATATCAGCTAGTGTGGGGATTATTAAAAGCTTTTTAATCCCAGGCTAACTCCTCAGCATATTTTTGAATGGCTTCTTCACTCTCTGCTCCAACTATATATAGATTTCCTAAAGCACCAGATGCCAACAAAATTAGGGAAGAAGAGTGCCCAAAAAGTGTTTTGTTTTTTTAATTACCTGCTGTTTTGGGTGTTGGGTATTTTTATCTCCCTCCCCTGGGTGACTGGCCCCTGCCACACTCCTCTGTATTGTCTTTCCTGAACCCCCACCTATTCCATTGAGGTCGTCTGGGTGGATGTGGAATTGTCCAGAGGGATATCCAGAGCACAGGCTTTGGTAACCAGGCTGTCTGTCCCCAGGACCCAGGGAGCTTCCCTGGCAGCCTCCACCATGAGACTGCGAAGTCTGGAAGAGGCCTCAGAACAGTGCACGATGCAGAGGCAGGGGCATCCCCTGAGGAAGAACTCCCAGAAGCAGGTAAGGCAGTCAGCTCCCCAGGAGCAAAAGAGGTTCTCCTTCTATTTCCTCTTGAATAGCACAGCCAGAAGAACCTGGCTGCGTCTTTCTCCTCCTCCTGTGAATCTTTGGGTCTTACGCAACCTTACAGAAATCGGATGTGGTGTCTTTTCTGGCCAGGCTGCAGGCCCCGAACTAACTACTAGGGTGATAGGGGCCACATAAAGCAGATACAGCGTGAGCCACAGGTCTCCCCCATTTCCAAGCCGTGTGCTTTTAGCCACAAGGAGGAGATGAACCGGCACCGTCCTTCTGCCACAGCTTGAGTCTTCCGTGGGCTGATGGCCAGACCCCAGAGGCAGATTTCCGTATCCTGACCAAGCTCAGAGGCCCTGCAGGCGGTGCTGAAGACTCACACATCCGTGCGGGACCAGGACACAGACCCGAGAGGCCCAAATACTGGGTTAGGGTACAGCCAGCTTGTTCCTCGGGGGGCAGCATCCCCCAGATGAAGCTAGCACAATCCAAGTCTGCGCCTTGGCTTTTCGATTCCATAAATTCAACCCTGTCTGGCCTCACAGTTCATTGAGATTATGGGTAAGTGTCTCGCGTTAGGGGCGCCTGACTAGCTCAGTCGGAACAGTGTACGACTCTTGATCTCAGGGTTGTGAGTTCAAGCCCCACACCGGGTGCAGAGGTTACTTAAATAAATAAATAAATCTTTAAGTGTCTCACATGAACCAATTTCGCGTTAGACCAACAGATAAACCACAGAGCCCATTTACTTATAGCCTATGAGAAGGTACTCCTTATGCTGGAATCTTCTCTGGAATGTCCTTGTAAGTAAGCTTGCTGACAAGCCAAACCATCCTCAGAAGGTCGCCGGTGGTCAGGGAGTGAGACTGAGACTTGCCTGTACGATATTGTGGCTGGTGTCATGTCTCCACTGTAGGGACAGACATGCCGAGCAGACAACTACTCGTGGTGGCTGGACAGGGCCTGGAGACGCCAATACTCGTTCGTACTCTGATTCCCAGTTTCCTAGGCCCTCACTGATTGCTCATTCCCCTTCATTAAATATAGAGTTTCCCCGAACCGTCCTAATGTAGCTAGTGAGGGGCACCTTTTTTTGTTACAAATTTCAGTCCCACTTCCCCGAGTACAGGGCTGGTCACCTTTTAATCAAATTCTGAATGCCCCCAAACAGGCTTCTATCCTTCCAGCAGCCATGTTTATCACGTGCCCTGAGCCAGACCAGACTCGCCTCTGCAGGGGTAGTTTCCAGCCCGACTTACTCCACGGGCGGCCTGATCCAGTCCGTGGCGCGGGAGTTTTCTAGCTGGAAGCCGTGGCGCTGGCATGGGATGGAGCTTGAGTAGGCTCACCACGGGCAGGCCATTTGACCTCTTTGAACTCGGTTCTCTCAGATAAAGTGGGGATTCTAACAGGGAGCACCATGAACTGCCCCGTGAAGTATACTGTGAGGACTGGAAGGAAGGGGTGAGTACGGCGGGTGCGGCCCCCGCACCCGGTACAGCACACGCTCAGTATGTGTTAGCTGCTGTGTCAGCAGTAACAGTACCAAGCTCCATTTCCAAGTTCTCAGACACAAGCACCCGTCTGAGAACTACGGTCAGGGTCAGTTACTTTCATTCCAAACGCCCCTGAATGCCCTTTGGGGAAGGGGATGATGTTGTCTCACGCTCTTGAGGTGAGAAACCAGATTAGGGAATGCTTCTGAATGATTAGGGAATGATTCTGAACACCTCAAATGGCTTTCCCCGCCTTTTTTCTCCCTCTGGCCAATGAGAGGGTAGCACTAGAGAACGTCTGTCTGCTCAAGCACTCTGGATGGAAAGAGAGGAACCACTGAGGCCCAGGCAAAGCGTCTTTCTTGACAGAACGGCCCAGGCATTTTGTCCGTACCCCGTGTGTGTGTGTGTGTGTGTGTGTGTGTGTGTGTGTG